ATGACTCAGAGGTTCATCCCCCCCCCATCAGCGCTGCTGGAATGATTTAACAGCTGTAACAGCAGAGGTTACTCAGATTTAGAAAAAAAAAAACTCATTATGAAGATAATGAAGAGGCATTCTTCAGAAGCCCTACATTTTCACTCCATGGAAGCAGCGTTCCCACCACAGACACAGTGTCTTTTGGACACCTTCCTGCAGGCACATGGGAACGTTTGCTGCAGCTAGCAGAGCACCACAAAGCAACCAGACCACCTTGCATCCCTGCCTTCAGGTTGTCAACACCCTCATCCATCAAACCCCTGCGTAAGCAGCTCCAATTAACCAGCACGGCCTCGGGCTTTCATTTCCAACATGAAAAAAAGGCTGAGCTGCAGACCCATCAGCTCCTGGAGGGGAAAAAAAAATAAAATCGAATGGAGCTGAGGATATTTAATATTAAGCAATTTGAATTGCTACACTTACTCAGTGTGACTGGTAGGGACAGGGCAGGTTCCATGCTGGAGCCGTTAGGGATGTGACCCTGCACTCGTCTGCCCAGAGGAAGCCAAATGCTTCCTAGACAGTGAAATCACAGCCTGAGGGAGCAGGGCTGTCCCACTGTCAGCAAGATGCTGGTCTCAGCCAGCCACATCTCTCGGCTGACAGTCAGTTTTCCGCAGGAGGGTTGAGCAAACCACGGAGAAAGGAACATCCTGGGCAGCATCCCAGCCCCAGGCAGGGGGTACAGCACCACCCCCTCCCTGCCTGCGTCAGCACAGGGATGGTCAATGCTGCCTGTTTCATCCCTAAACACCTCTTAGGCACTTCAAAGGTATTTAAAGCGAGCAAACCAACAAAAACAAGCAGGCTGGAAAACATAAAAGCAGGTTTCTTCTACCCCTGTCGGATTGATCCAAGGGTTCAAAGATTCCTGTGAAGAGGCAGACTCAGAACTGCCATCTAGGATGTAAAGCCCCACAATCAAAGCCCTGCAGAGCTGATCACTGCTGAGGGAGGATGGGATTTCATGCCCACCTGGGCTCAGCTGCAGAACACAACCTGAAGCACATCTGCCTCATGCAGGTGGGGAGAGCACCCAGCACGGAGCCTTCCTGAGCACCAAACCACGTGCAGAAGACGAGCAGAGGGGTGGGGGAAGTCAGGCCAAGTCCTTCCCTGCCCTCAGAGCTGCTGGGCACGGCGGGGCAGAGGTATTTGTGTACTGCAAACAGCACAGAGACCGTGCCAGGAGCCAGCTCACAGCGCTCTGAAAGCATCCACATGCCAACGCCTCCTGGAACACCTGCATCCCTCCCCACCTACACCCAGCTGCCAGGAGAGGTGTTGCTTGGTGTCTCCTGACACTGCTGCTGCCAGCAGAAGATGATGGCTGAGGCTGACGTGCTGCTGAAAGCAAAAGAAGAGCAACCCAGAGTGAGTTTTCACTTTGGAGGGGCAGCAGGGCTGGCCTAGGTTGCTCCCTGCCTTCTGCCAGCGCCTGCAGCCCTGGGGGGTGGGTGATCCCTGTCCCTGCGCTCCTCTCCCAGCTGGCAGGATGTCCTGGCTGGTGCCAGCACCCAAAGGGCAGAGCTGGCACTGGGGAAGCGAAGAGGGCAACGCTGCAACATGAACCAGAGATTTACCCACCCGGGGCCAGCCCGGCAGGTGCTGCCTCCGGGATGGGACAAGGAAAGGCTCAGCTGAGTGCTCCTGATCCCCTGGGCACAGGAGGGGGACATCAGGGCTATCCTGGGAATAGGGTTGGGGGTTTGCACCCCAGGGCATCTCCCAGCACTGCTTCTTGTCCTGGTTGCCTCCACCCCTACAAATCAACTCCCCCTGGGCCACAGCGAGGCCCCTCACTTCTCTCCCACAGGCAAAGCCAACCACTACTCAGGTCTCAACTTGAAGTGTGTGAAAGAGGACAAGACCATTTTTTTCAAGGCCACATTTTTGGTTGTTTGCAGAAACAAACCCAGCCTGTGTTTATTTACTTCATGGTTTAGCTACTCTCCAGCTTCCTTCTGTTTGTTGCTCTAAGCTCTCTGTGTTTGCGTTTCTCAACAAGGTCGTTGCTTTCACAAGACTTCTGCAGCGCTGCCCCACTCCCCTGGCCTCCAGCTTTGTCCTCTGACGTCCAAATACACTCAGAATATTAATTAAAATCACAAAGTGTTCAGCGAGAGGAGCCAAAACAGCAGCAGAAAACATCAGACACTCCTTCCACCCCCAGGCCCCCCGTGAAGGGCAATGCCCAAGACCCAGAAGCAGATGGAACCCGGGAAGGACATCCCAGTGATGGTCCTGCTCAGGGTTTCTCAGCCTTTATTCTACCTGCTTGATGAAATGAATGTGTTTTATAACAGATGGTTTTAGCATCCTTAGGAATATGCAGCTCTTTTGTAACCTTAAGCAGGGAAAAGAACCTGAAGGGGGAAAAAAAAAAAAAAAAAAGGAAAGCTCTCCTGACCATGAGATTTGTTGACATCAAAAGGCACGGCTGGTTCAGAAGTCAACTTGAATCTCAACTCCCTCACCTGCTTCCTATTACAGAACCAGATGTTCCTCTTGCTGTAAACTGCTGCTATTAATAAGATAAATAATTATGCTTTCCTAATCATTTAATAGGTGCACAGGAGAGTATCAAAATTTCTGGCAGGCATTAAATGCCTCTCCCCTCTCTTAAGGGCTCAGGGACCCATTGGTGGCCTCTCATCCTCCACAGGATTTCAGAGTAAGAGAAGCTGAAGCCAAGATAAAAGCTAAGAGAGCCAGGCTCCTCTGCACAGGCTGTGCTGCACACCCATCCTCTCTCCAAATCTCCGTGTGACAGGGACAGCACTTTTCCCACCTGAGATGTGTCTGCAAAAGCACCCAGTGCTTAAGCCAGGTGTGATTCCCACCCCATCTTTCCATGGCAGGACTGGTGCTGCACAGCCCCAGCCCACAAATATGGGGGCAGCTGGTTTTTAACCTGCTGGTTTTTACCACCCCTGCAGGTTCCCAGGACCCGGCGAGGGGCAGCCCTGCTCTGCCAGATCCCTCCCTCCCTCTCTCTCCCCTGCAAGCCCCAGTCATTTACTGTTTTTCCCTCCCAAGAACACTTTGTCCTTCTGTTGACAAACAGCCTCAGCCTCGGGAATGTGAGCAACAGCACCACAGATTAACGAGGTCACTGCAACCTCCAGAACTCTGCCTGCAGCTGCTCAGCCCCTTTCCCATCCTCCAGAGATCTCACCCCGACCTGCACGGCTCTGCCTCAGCCTGACGAGGGGATCAGCCATCACTGCTGGCTCCAGGTGTTAACACAGCACATCTGGATCACTGGAGCCACAGGTTCAGGGGCTCACCCTCGGGGTTGAGCTCAGTGACTGATCAGGAAAAATCCCAACCCTTCAGTGCCACACGCTCCGAGTCCCCCGCTGTGAGATGGGGGTGGTGGGGCTGTGTCACCACCCACACGGGGGACACACACCAGGCTCAGCTCTCCCCATGAAGGGCTCTGCTCAGCCCAAGACCCTCCCTGACCCCCACAGTGCACTGTCCTCACACTGGGACACCAGGCCAGTCCACAGCAGGTGACATCCAAGCCCAGAGTCAAGGGTGAGCGCGTTATGAGAGCAGAGACCCCCTTGTCCTGTTTTTTTCCAGCTAAGAAAAGGTTATGCAATACGGTCAGAGCTGCAAAGCCCCTCTCCCAGATGAACCTGGCTTGACCCTTTCCACCACAGCTCCTCCACACAGCATGCTCACCCCCCCACCCAAACACAGCTCAGCACCCAGGGCTCTCATGCCCACGCCATCCTTGGCACTGCCCTCCTCCTGCACCTCTCCACTCCCACCCCAAGGGACCTGGCACCCCACCAGCTCATTTCCACCACACTTCCCCCTGACCAACATCAAGGTTCATTTCCCGTTCCCCTTTCACAACAAACGTAACTTGCCAAAAGGGAAGCCCCTAAGGAGATGTCGGGAATGAGGGGAAGGCTCCAGCTAATGCGTTTTCCAGGAGTTACGAGGATGAGCTGACGTGCAAAAGGAGGCTGGGGCAGCTGTTGTGACCCCCAGCCTCTTTGAGGCAACAGCTCAGTGGGGCATGGCAGGACACGCTGGCTCCCTCACCATGTTTGATTTCCCAGGAAAAGCTTCGGCACTGACGTGGCCGGTGCCACCTTTGAGATCGATACCGAGAGCAAACACGCACAGCCAGCCCTTCCCTCCCAGAGCCTCAGCCCAAGCATCACCTTCTTCTCCACGTCAGTTCCACCACCAGGAAAGGGAACACTCCGCCTGGGAAAGCGTGTCTGTGCTAACAAGGTCATATTTAATCAGCCAGCACCTCCCGGGACGCGGCTGGGGCTGTGTGAATTAACGAGTCTGCCCGCGGCACAGAGCAGCCAGCTGGCACTGCCCGTGCCAGGCACCCACCAGGGCCTGCAGTGGCCACTTCCAGGACATTCCCTGGAGCTGGGGGCACACAGCAACAGAGGCAGAGTGACCCAGAGTCCAGTGCCCTGAGCAAAGCCGTTCTGTCTGCTGTGACCACGTCTTGCCACTCCTCGTCTCCAGGCTCAGCATCACTGCAGGTGCTCCACGGGTGAGATGTCACCCAGCGGACTGATGCTCCCAACCTGCCTTCAGCCCCTACCCTAGGCTTGTTCTTGGGTGCTAATCAGAACAAGAGCAGCCAAAAAATCCCCGCCAGTCACTTCAGAAAGCCTGTGGTATCAGTTAAATCAGTTAAAAGGGCCCTGCAGAGCTTTAAAAGACACAAAAGCCAATTTGCTGCACGGCACAGGGAATTTTATTCCCAATGCAGATTAATTCCATTAACTCATTCTGTGCCCTTTTTTGGGGTGATCCTTCCCTGCCCTTGCAGGTTATGGAAAGCACAGAGCAAACACATCAACAACCTCCTTTCCTTCGAAGCCACTCTTATTTCCTCCCCGCTTGCAAACACCTCCCCCTCCCCACACCATGTCTTCCCAGTGCCACCAAAAAAAGCCCAGAAAACTCACCTTGTGCTTCATAGCCAGAAGAGTGATGAGCTGCACCCACGTCCTCATCCCCAGGGCTCAGGCCAAGGGCTGACCTGAGCTGGGCCACGTTCAGCTGTGCCGTCAGCTCCCCGCTCCGGTCCCCAATCTGCAGCGGGAACACCAACAGGGCAGCTGGATGAAGGCACGTGCTCCAAGCAAACAGCCCCCCCAGCAAGGGGTTTGCCAGTCCCATCTCAAAGCAGATGCAGAACCAGCCAGAGGAGAGCTTGGAGACACCTTGAGAAACCACACAGCCCAACTTTCAGCCCCAAAGGAGCTCTCTGAAATATTCCTCAGTGGTAATTCGGGATGGGATCCATGTGTGCTGTGCTGCACCCCAAAACACAGTCCTGTGGAGATCAGAGAGGGCTCAGCTCGCCCACAGAACTGAGCCACGGTTAAATGTGCTTGTCTGGTCTGTCCTGCAGCCACACATGGCTTGGCAGAGAGCCCTGGAAATCTCAGCCCCCTTCCTCAAGTATTTCCATGGTTACTGAGCACCAGACACCACAGTGCCATCAGCCAGGGTCACACCAGGGCTCGGATGCTCCCAAAGCCCTTCTCTCCTGGCTCAGGTCCATACAACTTTGAGTTGTTCCTAGTGATCCACCCACACACAAGGCTCCAAAAGTCTTTTGGAGTCTACATTTTTCCCAAATTTCCACCTCTCTCTAGCCTGAGCCCAAGGAAGCTGATGGTACATGTTCAGGAAGAGCTCTGTCCACCAGCTCCTGCTGCTTAAAACAGGGATGTGACACTGAGCCCTCCACAGAGTTCAACTGAACAACGAAATGCTGGTGCTGCACATCACCAGGGAACACAGAGAGGTCACTCAGAAACAGCCTCTCATCTTCAGAGCAGGAGCAGCCTCTGTGACAGAGGAAGACCTTGGCTGTTCCCCTGGAGAGGCCCAATTCCCTGGTAAATGCCTGGCAACAGCTCTTTTGTGGCCCCGTGCGATAGACGGCAGCGGGAGCCGTCCTGGAACAAAATCATAAATCCCCACATTATTTATGACAAAGCCCCAAGCGCCAGTAAAGGGAGGCAGATCAAAGGGCTTATCATCAGCCATAAATCCCCCTGCCAATTACAGGAGATTTGCTGTTGACATCATCTCCAGAGAAATTACTACGTCCTGGTTAAGGTCTTACAGTCCTTGATGCTCTATTAAATGCTTCCATGACTTCCACTCATTCCAGATCATCTCCAAAGCCCTATTAACAACCCAGGAACAGACTGGCAGGACAATGATCCTGGGCAGGACCTGCCACACAACACACGACAGCTGAGCCCTGTTTTCTGCCCTCAGCTTCCCAGGAGCCTCCTGTCACACTTGGACATGGCAAAGGTATCCCAGAGCAGTATCTGAGAGCTGGGGCAGCTTCCAAGGTTTTTAGGTACACGTCCTTTATTCCAGCTGTTTCAGGAGAATTTTGTCAGTAACCCCTGACCATCCTGCAGCAGCTTCCAGTGTGGTTACCCTGAGCAGATTTCATTGGGATTCAAATGTCAGTGTTAGGTTTTTGTTGGGGGGAAAGGGAAAAAGCGATGGGGAAGTGAGTTACAAACAATGGTGTGAAAAGGTTTAATTTCACAAGGTTTCTCCTGGGCAAACTACTGGTACAACAGCACAAGCAGCTCACTCTTTCCCCAACCAGAACATCAGCTTTAACAGAATCACTGCTAAAAGCCAGTGCAGGTTCTCCTCAAAGGGACAGTCTCTGCTCTGTAATTAATGATGGAGGGGGCTTTATCAGCCACCTGCCATGAGGAACCTACTCCTGACACTGCCTGTGGTCACAACCAGCACCCTGGAATGAGAACCCACTCTGGTGGGTTTCCCCTCCACCCCCAAAGGCCCCAGGACCAGCACTTCTTGTCCTCCCATTGCTCCTCATCTGCATTTCACTCTGATGGGCTGGCTCTGCCTCCAGGACTCAGCCCACACTGCCACAGTCCAACAGAACAGAGCTGGAAAAGTTAATCTGTCCTAAAATGTACAGGGCCAGAAGAACAGTGTTTCTTCTGGGTGTCTGATAAGTATAATTAAATCTGTAATTAGGCTGCTGTGTCAGCCCTACTCTGAGATTTCACCAACCTAGCAGACAGGCAGGAGAACATCCAGCTCACTTACATATGGGGATTTCAATTAGTGCTTCAAGAGGGCAATTTCTTCATCTGGGGAAGACTAAAAGAGGCCATGGCCAATTTCCTCAGCACCCTGGAAGGAGCAAACAATGGAAATTCTTGCTTTCTGCACTTCTGAGCCACCCAAAACCACGGTGTGTTCTTGCAGCGAGCTGGGTGAGCAGGCAGTGGCACAGGGTGGCTGCAGGCTGTGTGTGCCCAGTGACAGCATGGATTGCATTAGGACACTGCTGGAGCTCCCACCTGCCAGGTCCACTGAGAGGAAACAGCTCCCCAGGCACACTCCCTGCTGCAGTGCAGAGCACAGAGCCCTCAGGAGCTGCCCTCGTGTTCTCCACGTGTTTTAACTGGCCAGCAAATGCACCAAGAGGTGTCAGAGCTCCTTCATCTGGGTGCACAACACCTTGGCCAGCAGAGCAGACAGCTGGTGCCCAGGTCCTTTCTCAGCCACAAATATTGGTTAAGAGCAAAGCTCAGCTAATAAATACATTTGTTGTAATTAAGAGGAAGACTGGGAGCCTCCCAGCAAAAGAATGTTTTCCTGCCAAGCTCTGCAGTTCCTAAGGACACCACTGAAGCAGCACACAGAGAAGGGCTTTCCAGAGCAGTCACAGTAAGAGAAGAACTACATTAATAGAACTCAGTGGCGTAAAATAACCTTCCTCTCACCGCAGGGGGACTGGCTCCCTCTGATCTGAACCAGCCTCTCTTACCTCTTGGGAGATTTCAAGATGTTTCCTTGCGAAGTGCAAAGCTTGTTCGTGGCTCCCCAGTGAGATGTAGGCATTTCCCAGACTCCAGCAGGCTCTTCCTTCTCCCACCCTGCAGAACAGCAAACTGTCAGCCACAGAAACTCTGGGCAAAGCCCAGCAGCCCCTTCAGGGCCTCCCTGAGAGCACTGACAGTGAGGCTCCTCGCTACGCTTTCATCTACACAACGCTTCTACAGAGGAAAATGAAGAGTGTTGTACATCTTAAACTCCTCTCACTGAGGTCAGCAAGAGCTGGGGATGAACAGCAGCCTCAGGAGCAGATCTGTGCCCACAGTGACACACAACTAAGCAGTGTAGCAAAGGCTCAGGCCAGTTTGGCTTCACTGGTGAGCACCTGCCCAAGAGGGGAAGCCAGAGCTCCTGTCCAGCTTCCACCTCGCACGGCAAGGGCTCCTCAACAGAGATGCACGAGAGGGAACACAACATTTGGCTCAACACGAGCCCAGAGCTGAACTGGTGAGAAGATGGCAAGGAGGGAACGCTGCAGGCAGGCAACAGCCTCAGCTGAGTGCCAGCACTGCATCACCCAGGGGGCACAGCTCAGACTGCCCCAAAGCTGAGTGAACATTGACCGGTGTCCACAAGGTCTCCAGGGCACTGCTCATGGTTTCCAGAAGCCAAGGAAAGCAGGTGGGTGTGGAACCTGCCCTGTGCAGCCCTGACCCCCAGCCTGGCCCCCCCCGGTGTCCCTGGAGGTCCAGCAGCTGTTTGCAGGAGCCTCCTGCTCCCCAGAGCCTGCTCAGCTCTGCAAGCGAGCAGATGTGGGGGGAGAAGGGATAAAAAAAGCACCTGGGGGCGCGGGGGGAGGTTCAGCATGACTGCAACTCCCTTTTCAGAGGTTTGGGCGGGTTGATCAGCATCTCAACGTTTTTCTTGTCACCCTGTTCAATACCTTCTGCTCACAAGGGTGTGTTCCCAGAAACGCAGGAGCCCACAGGCCTGCACCCCCACACAGCATGATTCACCCTTGGGTGGGATTGTACCTTCTCTGAGCAGATACTGCCCGGGTGGTGGCACAGCTCTCCCATCCTGATGTCCCTGCTCCATCTAGTGGAGGACACCCAGCTTCCAAGAGAACTCAGCATAACGCTGAAAAGTCACTTCAGCTGCAAGAAGGCTCAGGATCACAGAGTATCCAGCAGAAAGGAACCAACCCCTCGTAAAAAAAATTTATTAATTTTTTAATTAAGCCTCCAAATAAGGAGGGACGAGGCTGAGAAACAAAATACATCATCTCCACATCCTCTGTGGAACAGCATTTGTTTGTACTCAGAAGTTTCCAGCATTAACCCAGAGAAACAGGACGATGGGGCACACATTTATGCCCTAAGCACACAGTTTCTAAGGAAGAGACAACATTTGTGAACCTGAGGGAGCTTCAGAGAGACCATTCTGGGGTAACAGCAGCAGCCACGTGGCAAAGCACGGAACACGATGCATTTTCTTGAAGTACCTCCTGTTACAGATCTCAGCCCACACAGACACAGCATTCAGGGCACAACCTCCAGGTTTGAATGACACGATAAAGGTGTCAATCATGTCACGTTTCTGACAGATGACTGGACCAAGGCTTGAGTTTTGAGAGATTCCTAATGACTTCCATGAACACACATTACTGTTTAACCCCAGCAACAGCAAACAGTAAGCCAGGGAAGGGTCAGTGCTCTGCACCCAGCACAGACCCCTTTCCCTGAGGCACTGCTTTACCTGTCTCCCAGCTCCTGTGCTATCACCAGGTGCTTCAGGTGGTACTCAATGGCTCTTTCGTAGTCCTGAAGCAGCGTGCACGTGTTTCCGAGGCTGTAGCAAGCCTGGGCTTCTACTGCTTGGTCTTTGAGTTGCCTGGAGAGCTGGAGCGTTTTCCTGCAGGGGACAGGTGGCAATGAAGAGACCTGCTCACTGCAAGGTGATCACTGGCAGGGAGGTCCCCCCTTTGGCACACACTGTGCTGATGCCTGTGAGGTGGCTGTATCACCCCCCACTGCTGAGCACCACACATGCCACTGGCCTCCAGATCCCTTGTCACAACCCCCCCTGAGCTCAGGAATTCACTGCAACAGGTCAAGATTCCCAGGGCAAGAGGAACAGGAGGAGATTTCCCCGGCACTTACTTGTAGTACTCGGCGGAGATGTCGAACCTGCCGAGGAAGATGTGAGCGTTGCCCAGGTTGCTGTAGGCTCTGCGCTCGGCTGCCTTGTCCCCAAACTCCTTGGCAATGGCCAGGCGCTGCAGCAGACACAGGGCAGTGGGCACAGGGGGCACTGACAGCTCTCTGTCCCACGCCAGCCCCTCTGGGACATCAACGTCCCAAAGCAACGGGCTTTGCAAAGCTCCCACCCAGCCAGGCCCTGCTGCCCCTGCCTGTCAGGGCTGGATGCAGCAGGAAATCTCTCCCTCTTTTGCAATTCGGCATCAGGAAAAGCCTTTGGAAAAGTTCCATCCCCATGCTGTCCCCCCCACCCAGGACTTAAAATCCAGAGGAGCTGCGACAGGGCTGAATTTCCAGGGGGCTGAGCACGTTCCACTGCAAGGAAACTGATACTCAGTGAAACAGAAGTTAAACTGCATCTGAATTGGGGCAGCGACTGTGTCACCTCACCCCCCTGTAAAGCTTTACAGAAAGTTATTATGTTCTACAAGCTGCATTTATTCTTGATCAACAGCTCTTTCAGCAGCTTAATTAAATCCATGGCTTGCATTTATTAAAATCTAGACTGAGACAAATTAAGAGCAGGAAAAAAAAAAACCTTGCTAGACCCAGCTGCAATTTGCCCTTGGATACCTCCTTTGGTTTCCAAGCCAACAGCACCCTTCCCTCAAGCTGCTCATTAGGTGCTGATGGGGATTGGAGCAAGATCTGCTCAGTGTGAGTTACTACAACAGGGTTCACACAGGAGGGAGAAAAAAACTGCTGGGGGAAACATCTCCCTGTGCTTGGTGGGATGTGGTGGGCAGGAAAAGCTGCTCCCACAGCCCCCCTGAGGCCAGCAAGGCAGGCAAAAGGTCTCCTACCTCCTTGTGGAAGGCTATGGCTTCACTGAAGTTGCCAAGTAAGTACTGGGTGTTGCCCAGGTTGCCATAAGCTCGGCCCTGAGCAGCTCTGTCCCCCAGCTCCTTCACCAGGGACAAGTTCCTCCTGCAAGACACCAGAGCAGAAGGGCCAGTGAGACACAGCCAGTAAATCTGCACAGAAGGACAGGAGAGCCAACCTGGAGAAGGCATTTCCCTCCCAACCACCTGTGCTGGGGGCAGAAGAGTCTGGTGAGCTGTGCCAGGGCAGCTCTGGGAGCTCGTGCCAAGCCAGGGGTGCAAGTCCCTGCTGCTCCCTCTGCTCAGGAATTGGGGGGCTGGTGCAGGAACCACCCCAGTGCTCAAACAGAGATCCCACATTAAATAAGAAATGGCCTCTTCACTGCACAGGGCAGAGCCAGGGGCACAGGAGGAAGGAGATCACCTGGAGCAGGACAGGGACACACCTGGGGAAAGGGGCAGGATCCACAGTCCCACGACAGAGCTCCTCTCTGGGCTCTTCCCAGCACTTCTTTCCCTTGTTTCTCCCCTTTTACACACACAGCACACAGAGCACTCACAGATTTACCCACTGGCTGTGCTACATGCACCACTCCTTGGAAAAAAGGAGTGGTGAGCTATTTACAGGCACTATCACATCCTCAGATATGAGGAGACAGATATAAGCTCTTGTTTCTCTCTTCATTTAAAAAGCCTGCTTAAAAAACCTGCCTCATAAAAGCAGAACAAGGAGAAAAACACAAACCCAAAAAGCCTGGTAAACAACCTTCCTGCGTGGGACATCACAGGGATCTCTGAAACTATTTAGGAAAAGGAAGGACGTTGCAAGCAGGATAAAGAGAGGGACAAGCAGGACTTCAAAGTGACTCTTCCCTTGGGTGACAGAGATAGAGGCACACGGGGATCCATCCTCCAGGAGGCCAGCAGAGAGCAGCAGGGGCTACAGGAGCCAACAGTTCAGCTTCCCAGCACACACTGCTGAACTTCAGTGCACGATCATAATTCGAACCACAGGGAGTTTTACCAAGGCAATGCCAGGAGGAATTTTAGCTCAAATTTTGCAGAAGGCTCGTAGTCCTTTCCTCACCTTCCCTGAGAATAATTTGCCATCATAACTTGGCATCTCAGGGGAATATTTCTAATTCATTTCAACATGTAAATTCTCACTCAGGGGCCCTGTTCCCTGCAGGAGAAAGGGCTGGCCAAGCTTGGATACTTACTCATAATATTCTGAAGCTTTCTGCAGCGTCTCCTTGACTTCCTGAGGGAGGGAGCCTGGGTCCTGAGCCATGTTCCACGATAAGTGCTTTCCCTTGGCATGGTAAACATTTCCTATATTATAGAGTGCTCTGGCTTCACCTACCTGAAAGGAGGAAGAACAGGGAACAGCAAGATATTACACTTCACATCCCAGCACGGCCCTCTCCACTGCTGGGCAGGGATGGTCAAAGCCAGGAGCCCACATTTCCCTCTCCCCACCTTCACCCTCCTGGCAGCTGTTACTGCCAGCACCGCAAGAGCAGTGCTGGCAGCCAGAAGGGGAGAGCTTTCCCCTCCACCTCCACCAGATCCCATTTACTGACTCGCAGACAGATCATTTCTAAAGCCAGGAGATATTTCCTGTTGGATGCCACGAACCAATTACCTTGTCTCCCTGCTCCTGAGAAATGTCCAAGTGCCTCTGGCAGCAAACCACAGCTTCATCAAACTGCCCGAGGATTTTCAGGGTGTTCCCAAGGTTGCCACTTGCCTTGGCCTCTCCAATGCGGTCCCCGATGGTCCTACAAGGTGAGGGTGGTTCAAGAGCTCACAGACTTTTATTCACCAACTGCTGGAAGCAGAATTCCAGCTGCAGCAGGTGCTGTGTGGTACCTGCACCACATTCCAGGAGCTCCCAGCACACACTCCCGCAGCTGGAGACTTCACACAGGTCCCACAGCTCTGAAAGACAGATCCTTGTTCCCCGTTTTGCTGCCTCTAATGATTTCAGGTGTTCTCACCTGGGCACAGGAGAACTGGACACTGCCCTGCTCTTGCTCCAAGCCCTCTCCTCACATCCATATCCCTTCCTCCACCTCCCTGCTCTGAAGGGACCTGACCCATTCTTGTTGCCCCCCAAGTTCTCCACAGGACAATCACCCTCAGGGCTGCTTCTGGGTGTGTGTTTTGGGCAGATCCCCTCAGGTTGTTAGGTTCAGATCCCACAGAAGTTGCCCTCGCTCAAGGTTGTGTCTGATGAGGATGAAGGCAGCGGTCACTCACTCACCTGGCCAGGGTCAGGTCGTGTTTATGATACTCCAGGGCCTTGGAATACTCCTTTAGGTAAAAATAGGCATTGCCCAGCTGGCTGTAGATGGCACTGAGAGTCTTCAGGTCCTCAGTCCCCACCTGCACTGCTGCTTCGAAGAAGGCTGCCCCAGCTTTGAAGTCCCCAGCCTTGCACAAGCGCTCTCCTTCCAGGGCCAGTTCCAGGCAGGATGCCTCCATTCTGCAAAAAACCAGGGACATCATTCCCAGAGGAGTTCAACTGCAGTGCTCCCACACTGCCCTGTGATGGTTACAAAGTTTGCTTCGTTGGACACCCATTTTCTCCTGGGCATGATGAGACACGGGAGCATCCAGATTCCACCTTCTAGGATGGAATGAGAGTCTTTAAGGTCCTTTTCCACCAAACCATCCTGTGATCCTGTGATTTATAGACCATACCTGCAAGAGGCCAAAGGCAGCCCAAGGTTCCAAGTAGAAATGTGGACAAGAAACTCAAGGCTCTTGGCTCCAAGACAGGGAATCATCACAAGAGTAACACGGCATCTGTTTTCCTTCCAGGGGGTGCCACGTACCCAGGTACTCACCACCTTCCTGCACCTCCTTCCCTGGGGTAACAGAGCCAAATTGTAACACATTTTTATTGGACAGCAGAGAAAACCCTGGACTGTGCAGAATTTCTTGGCTGAGCAGCTCCCAGTGCTCGGTGTCTGCTTTTCATTAACTCTCCTGCTGTCACTTTTTCCACACATTAGCCCTCAGGCCAGCTTTCCTCCCATGTACTGCTGACACCTTTGGCAATGGCACACACCATGCTGTCAGAGGGAGCGCTCTGTGAGCAGTGATACTGCTTCAAGAGAAAGGAAACACGCTCCTTTGAGAGCTCCACCAAGCCCTCTCTGAATTACAGCTGTCCCTGTTAGACCAGCATATCCAAACTTCTCCAAAGGGACTCTCCCCAAGCTTACATTGGAAATATCCTGCCTGCTGCAAAATCAGCCCCCTCCTGAGGAGGATGGACACAGCATGTTCCTGTTCCTCTATTCACACACTTCTCTTTGCTCTTCTGGGCTTTTTCATCTCTGCTCAATGTATTTTCAAAAGTCAACACCACCAGGTCAAAGGTGGACATCTGCTGACAAAAAAAACACAGCTCCCCTGTCCAGGGGCTGAACAGCCACAGTCTGATGAAGGATAATAAAAGCCCAGGGTGGTTTCTGTTCTGTTCTCAGCCAAAGAGCACTTGGAGGGAGTTCTTGGTACCCACACCAAGAGAACAACTTGCCCAGCTGGCACCTCCTGGGGCACTTTCCTGGAGATGCTTCCCCCAAAGCCACCCACGAGCCAAGGCCCAGCCCCCCAACTCATACACCAAGGTTGAGATGTGGAGGCCAAGCACACCCTGCCCCACGTACCCCATCTGCAGGGCAGAATTCCTCCTGCCCCAGGTCTGTGCTCCCACATCTCCTGCCCAAACCCACAGCCAGCACCTGCCTCCCCTTCCTGCAAGGGGCACAGGGAGATGCACGGAGGAAATACCAATCCCAACACATTTTTTTTCCCTCCAAACAGGCAGAATGGTGCTTTCTCAGCTGCCAGGAAACAAAGCCAGGTCCTCTCTGAGCGTAAACTGCCTGAAATCCAACCCCATTTGCTTGGCAATCTCCCTGCTGAGTCGGCTCCACGTGGTTCCAAACTCGCAAGGCTTGGCAGCCCCACAGCCTCCTCCAGAGCAGGGCAGCCCACAAGGACTGTTCAAATAAAAAAATCAGCAAAAGAGATGGTTTCAGCCTCTCCCTCCCAACACACCTGTGACCTCTCCTGTCTCACTCTTCATTTGTCCCCCAAACCACCGAGGAACGAGGGAGAAAGGGATTGTGAAGCTGCTCCCGTGAGCTCCCACCTCAAACTCCCACACAAATATTTGATTCCAAGCTCACTGCAAGGCCCACATTTGAGTGGTTATTTTATTTACACAAGAAAGCTGCTTGTGGTGCCAGTGCAGCATCAGCCCCTGCCTCAACTTCTGTTTGATAGAGGAAATAAAAATATTAATACTAAAAATGCTTAACTTCTCTCTACTGATCCTCTTGCTGGACCACAGGAAAAATTAGTAAGAACGAGCTTGGGGATCACACCAAACTTCCATCGTTCCCAAGGCACATCCATGGCTTGTAGATCACTGGAGTTATTTACTGCCTTCATCGGGTATTGGCGAGGCTTGGGACTGAAGAAAGACAAGGAACACCTTGTACTCAAATCAGCAGGATTAACTTCAGGCAGCTTAGAGGAGATGAATCTTGAGAGGACCTGAAATGCAGCAACGAGCTGCTAACACAGGAATTAACGCTGGATTCCAGTTAGAAGATGGCAGAGACAGCAGCAAAATTTCAAACTGATTCCAGTTCGAATTTCAGCACAAACAAAACTCTGTCCCGTATCCAGGTTCTCTTTGAGAAAACTGAGTTTACCAATGGTAAACAGTCCAAAATCTGCGCTGGGGACCAATTCCCCTAAATCCTGGCGTTGCTGTGCAGCTCGGACCAAACTTCTGGTTGGATTTTAAACAGTTTGAAGTGAAGGTTCCCATTCCCACAGCGACAAAACCCAATTACAAACTCCGAGGGTGGCATCTCGCTCGGGCTGCGTTTGCCACATCCCAAAGTGAATGTTGTGCCCTGGAACCCCCACTCTGCTACATTCCCGGTGTTCCCATAGTAACTGCTCAGGCACAAGGCAGTGCCACGACCTTCCAGTGCTCACAGCCCTTAATTAAAATCTGTTTGTCCTTGAACAGGCTGCTCTGCAGAGTATCTGACTTATCTAATTAACATCACTGCTGGGATTGGGACCTGAGCGAACAAGGGGAAGGGACAGGGAGCTTTTTCCCTGCATCACACTCTGCCAAGCCTTTGCTGCCTCCCAAAGGGACAACAGGCAGGGATGGCAGCTATTTATAGAAACGCAGCCCACTTGTAAAACCCCACCTGCCCTTCCCACACAGCCAGAGCTACTCTGGGAAGCACCTCTGCATGTGCAGTTCAATCACTTCAGGCTTAAAAGCACTCAGGAACAATGCCCAGGGCAGAGGAATCAACTAAAGGTCAATGAACAAACTCAAGCACACTAAAGCTTCACTTTAAAAAGCTTCCAGAGGCCACAGATCAACTGTCCATTAAAAAAAAAAAAATGACTAAAAGGGTGAAGCTGAACCACCCTGGCAGGCCAGCAAAGGCAAAACACTCAGTGAGGACACACCGCAGAGGGTCCAAGCCCTCTCTTACCTCTTCTTCTGCAGGCTGTGCATTTCCTGAGCATAAACCCAGAGCTCCAAACCCAGTGGCAGAAGGAAGCAGTGGGGCTGAGGTCTGCTTGGAACAATTTTGCAGGCAGGCAGGATCCAGGCTTTGGAAGATGCTGACGGCATCTTCACATCTATACAACGTGAACTGCTCTCCAGTTCTCAACTGGTCTCCAATTTTCACTTCATCAGAAAGCAATGTCTTCTTTCCTCTTAGAAATCCAACATCCTTCATCCACTGTTGTAGCAGATAGGTGAGTTCACAGCCAAACTCCAGGAACAATATCTTGGTTCATTCACGTATTTTCAGCACTGCCCAAGAAAAAGGTCCCTAGAAGAGGCTTCAAGATGATCACAGGCAGGCAGTTCCCTCCTTTCTGGATTCGTCTCTTCCCAAAGCACTTTTCCTTTGTGTTCCATCAGCTATTCCTGCTGGTGCCTCTTTGCTCCAGGAGCAGAAGGGCTCCTGCTGCTCCAAACCTGTCCTTGTCAGGTGAGGAGCTCAGGGCTCCTCCTAAAGAAGGTCACCTTTGGGCACAGCACTTGCTAATCCGTCAGTCCCCAAAGAGGCCTCATCCATCTGCCACCCAGGGAGCTTTGGGAGTTCCAGGAATGACTCCAGCATTCCTCAGACTGGGGAAAAGCAGGAGAAGGTGGATCCCACCTTGCCCATGTAAATGGGCTCCAAACCATCCCTGTGGCACAACCTGCTGCCTTCCCAGCCCTGGGGTAGGAAGATTCTCCTCTGCTGACACACAGGCAACACACCTAGGTCTGGATCACTTCAGCAAGCACCTGCTGCTCAGGTGTCAATAGCAGGAAAGAAGATTCCAGTTGTCCCAAGTCAGCAGATCACCAGGACAGGCTGGAGGAGCTGGGCTTGGCCACCTGGTGCAGTTCAGAAGTGGCACTGCAAGAACTCAAGCTGCTCATCCACAGCTGAGACACTGGGGCTCCTCAACACGGTCCTCCCACCACACTCAACCTTTTCACGCCCTCACAGCATGTCCCTGATCCTTCTGCAGAAGGTCCCTCAAAAGGGGACACTTATTTTTTTAAGAAACAACAACAAAAAAAACATTATTTAAAAACAAACAAACAAACACAAAACCCACACACACAAGAAACCAAACCTGTAAAAAGGCCAAATATAAACCCAATGCTTGGCCACAAACACTGGAATTCTGCCAGGGGGATGAGTGAGTGGCACAACACTGGCAGATGACTCGGTCCCCACCAATGCAACAGCTGGGACTCTCCATCCTGGGAATGGGATGTTGCTTGGGACACTCAGGAGGCAGAAAGGGGTGACCTCCCACCATGAGGTGGCAGGGAGGAGGAAATCTCTTCCCAATCCAACACAGGGCAGGGCCTCCCTCCCTCCTCCTTAACTTGCTTTTGAAAGGATAACTGTTTGAAGGCAGAAAAGGCTGAGAATGGGAAGAGCAGCTCCCGCCCTGAAGGAGCAGATTTGCCCGGGTCGTTGATCACTGTCAGACAGCAGCTAATGATGGGATGAAGCACAGATTGCCTTTTGGCTGCTGGCAAGCTGGCTGGAAGGATTAAAGAGCAGAAATGTGCCTTCACAAAAGGTGCACAAGCAAAAGGCAAAGATTCTCACTCATCAAGGGTTGGAGAAGGCAAGGAGGGCCTGGGGATGCCAAGGACACTGCCAAGGGAGAAACAAAGGGAACAGCACAAGGTGTTAGCACTGCCATTAACAATCATCACCGTGACTACTCTAATTAGGATTTGTGTGATGATACAGGTCCCCAGAGGGGGAACACCACTAAAGAGGTGAGTTCAAAAGTGTGGAGCCACAGCCAGACCTCCCAACACCCTGCTCTCCCTTGCCAAACATTCCAAGGAAATAACACTGCATGGACAATATCACAGCCTGTCAGGCTGGAAAACAACTGGGCAGGCTGCATTTAGCCAAGAGCTTGTTGTGCAGGATGGTGGGTTGTGCACTGACCTCAAGCTCCCACCTCTCAGCCCTGCTCCACTCCAGGCAGGTGGAAAAAGAAGGGCAAGAGAACCTCATTATCCCAGCAAGGTGAAACTGCCTTAAAAAAAAAAAAATTGGGGGGAGGGGGGTAGAAGGAAAGATATTTATAGATATTTGATTCATATTAGTGGGGGCGACTGAAAAACTCATTCCTTATCACAGCTCCTGTAGTTCTAAAGTCAGGAATAAAGCCCAAGCTTTTAGACAGAAGGTAAGGCAAGGGAAAAAAAAAAAAACAACACAACATCAACAGTAGTAAAAAATCCCTCTTAGTAGATCTATTGATATGAATCAGTGAAGCAACAGATTTTAGCATCTTGCAATTTTAGCATCTTGCTCGCTGATAAATCTGATTCAGTTTTATTCAAAAAAAAGTGTCCTTACAGAGCACTGATGACAGGGGCAATTAAACGCTTTTTCCTCCGACCAAAAAGGAATCGCATTTACCAGGTGTTCAGTGGAAATGCATATTCACCGGTTTAACCAACTCAATATGCATTTAAATAATTACTTTCTTCAAGGACCTGCTGCAAGTTAATCAAGCTGGGAATTATTCCCCTTCAGCAATTTCCTTTTCCAGCCCTCACACAGCTCCTGCACCTGAGCTGATGATTCTGAACCACCAGGTAACGCAGCCAGGGCAGGGCTGTTCAAACCCCCTGAGGGGTCACAAAAGAAGGAATTCACAGCCCACAGAAACCAGCTCAGCTTCCCCTGGGCCAAAGCCCATCCTGCTGACAACGGGTTCGAGTGTTTTCCTGGGCTTGCCTACACCAGGAAAGCTGGCCCAGAAGCACAGCCCAAATTTATTCACGGTGAGCTGATATCCTATTTAGCCTCGGGCCAGCACAGCAAGCCAGACTGAGCTGCTCTTCTCTGCCCGGGGCACTCTCACAGGGGTGATTAGGGCAGTGTCTCTCTGGGTCCTCACTGCTCATCAAGTGACACTTTCCTCACCCCAGCCTGGGCACTCACATCATTCTGCCACCAGCACATCCACACCTGGCTCTCTCTCCCCTCTTGCTCACGAATGAGGAGCTTCAGCCTCTGAGAAGAAAATCTTATTACTCGCCCCTAAATACACAGATTTTCAACTTCCTCCTGTTAAATATTATCACTGCCACAACACCACACCTTTCAATCGATCTCCAATCATTACTCCATACTCATCCTCCCCTGTGCTGCTCCATATCATCAACATGCCCAGTAGCAAGCTGAGAGGGGACTGATGAAAATGCTCAGTGAATGATCTCCCTCCCCAGCCCAGTTGAGGTGCAGCGTGTCCAGCAGTGCCAGCTCTGCCCCCCCTTCCCTCCCACCCCAGGTCCCCAGCACTGATCCCCTCCTGACAAGCAGCTTCCCTGCAAGGCACCCTATCAAACACGGGCTGGCAGGGAAGGGGACAGATAAATCAAGATACACATGAAATCAGCCTGATGCAAACTCCTTTTGGAAGTCTGAGACCAGCACACAGGAGCTGGTTCCCCTCCAGTCAGAGGGCAGAACCTCTGGGACGCTCTCACCTCCGAGTCACCTCATTAGTGAGGGGAAGGAAACAAACCTCCTGTTTGGTTTGGAGAGGAAGAGGCCAAAGATGAAGCCGTGAATGCTGCACCCTGCCCTCCCCTGCTCCTCAACTGCGTCCAAGTGCCTGGGCCACTTTCACATCTGTGCAGTTCAGGGTCACCAGCACATCTGGAGGGGAGAAGGTTTCCACTCCCCACACTTCCACTGGTAGGAGCAGTGCAGCGAGTCCTTTCGGTGACCCCTGAGCTGAAAATAAGAATATCCACACACAGTTATTGCTGCTGGGGAGGTGTTTGCTCAAGCTGGAGCTCCAGGGATAACCCACACGAAGCGATTTTTTTTTTTCACTGCAGTCTTTTGCTCGGGGCGTGAAACAGAAAATCCAGAGGGGAGAACTCCAGGGAGTTCTGGAAGCTGCTGGCTGTGTGTGCTGGCTCCAGATTTCCTCTTCCCCTCACTGAGGCAGCATCAGTGCTCACAGTAGTCATTTCAGCTAATTGCTATCTACCATTAGCTGCAGAGTACTTACAAGGGATTCAATTCCACTGCATATTTGCTAATAAATACCAAATGACAGTGAGGAAGACAGCTGTATTTAGCTGCATTTACCCTCTTATTAGCAGCACTGAATAAGACCCCATTTCAGTGCATAATGGCTCCAACAAGCTGCGTCATTGTCAGAAATTCAAATCCTAACTCCCCACCGCCTGCTTGAAAGCAAAAGTCATCCAGCATTCCCCTGCTTACACAACCTCTGTGGCTTTGATCCATGGGGATGTGGGGAATGGAAGGCAGATGGGAGTTATTTGCTGGTTTAGGAGCATTTGGTGAGGCAGCTCATGATGATGAGTTGATGGGTGCAGCAACTTTTCAACCTAAGGACCCCAAAATATTTTGCAGAGGTGCGAGGGCAGCCATTCCCTCATTTTGTGAAAGGCAGCTAAAGGCACCGGGGGCAAATTGTGCCTTGCTGTGAGTCAGCTGGAGGGAATGGAAAGGAACACAGGAGCCCTTGGCTCCCAGCACCCCTGCCAGGTCCTCCCCCACAAGTGCCAATTGGAGCTGATCCATCAGGAACGAGGTGCAGCATCTTCCACCCAGGCAAGGACGCTCACACAGCTCGTGCCACCCGCTCAGCATGACACCCAACAATCCCTGCAGATGCCCCCAGCTCCAGGAGCTGAAGATGCTTTTGGCCTCTGGAAACCTGGTCTACACGTGGAAGGATTGGGCTCTCAATAAATTACGCACAGGGAACAGTTATCCTGATTCCACGTACCAAACCCTTCCCACAAACGCAGCTAGACCCACAGGAAGAACAGAGAGCACAACGAAATTTTTCTGTGTCATCTGAGGAGTGAAATCTCTAAGAGGCAACGAGCACAAATTTCAGTCTTTGTGCTCCAAAATTACTCAAATATCAAAGGGCCCTGATGGATGTAATTAACTTCCAGCACTTGAAAATGCTCAGACGAGATTAAGGTGCAAATGTGGATTTCATCTCATCCTGGTTAAGTTTCATTTGATAGCCAGTTTCAAAGCACTTAAATTATAAGATGCAAATACTTCCCAGGGTCTAAGGAAATTACGATTAAGGAGATACCGATTTGA